GTCCCTACCCATGGGCCAGCGATAAGCTTCAGGGACAGACAGATACAGACTGCCAAAAAGAAGTTGCAATTCCAGCCAGCTTGCTAGGAAAGGCTCACGGAGCTTAGCTGAGTTTTCTGTCTCAAGGAGAGTTTTTCAGAAAAGGCTGTGAGGAAGAATGAGACCATTTTAGCGAGCCAACTACAGCTGATGAATTAAATCAGCACCAGATAACAAAACACTGTGGCATGTTTGAGGAAAAGGTCATTTTTTGCTTTTGCACATTACACTGACACCTGCTTTCTCAACACGTAAGTCACTTATTATTCCAGCAGCAATATCTCACTCTGTGGCAAGTGTTTCATCATTTTTATTCCTTTGGGGAAGCCAGATCCACAACTCAAAACTGTGTCCAGCCAAGTTCAATTAACAGAGTGCTTCATCCTACATGCACAGAAGTTTAATCACTAGAAAACAGGATGTACTTTAATGTACACCGACGTCTTTAGCATATTGTTTTGTGGCTTCATGCATATTAAAGTATACCTTTTACTATGTACTGATTTGTATTATTAAGTGTTTTGCAAATAAACACAGGGGTGCATGCACAACAGTCACTTCCTAGGCCCCCAGTAAGGAGAAGACCAGCCACCACTGGACCTAAAACCTGAGCCATAGAAGAGGCACCATTTACCCCTACCACAACCTCGTCTCAAAACAAAATCCTGGTATCCTTGTCACAGGGTTAAACTGTCTCTCATTTCCATCTCTCATTGTCTGGACCAAGACACCGCCACTCCACCCATGTTACCTAGTTCTGCATTTGATTTTGTACATGCTCAAATTCCTCTGTCCCTTCCCACACCACACACACAGAAGTTGGCAGAGAAGCCCACTGACTCACCTTGTAGTTTTATTTTCTCAAAAATGTTGTCATTTGATCTGTGTACACGAGAGGAAGAAAAACAAAAGGCTAAAGCACCTGCAAAGCAGCACTTAAACCAAATCTCATTGATTTTTCTTTGTTTAAATTGGTTTGCCTTTAAATGAACCCTTTGATCTGCCTCCTGCCTAGGTAGTGAACCTCCCTCCCAGATGTGCCGTGCTAAGGCACACAGCTCAGCACTGCAGCACGCTTATGTACCAAGGGTAAATCGCTCCTCAATTACTGTGCAAGAAGCAGAAAACCTACACTGGGTTCCTAACAGGAGGATATCAGACGTACCGTTAACTGCAGCAACATTAGTTCAGTCAAAGTTCTTAAGAAAAATATTTCCAAGCTTAAAACCCAAGATTCCATGCTAAATGCCAGGGACATCCGTTGCATTCATAGAGGGTGACAATTTCTTTTGAGTATATGCACCGTGAAAGCTACAGTACAAAACCAGGGGTGATGTTAGCTCCTTGCTCTCGCCCCTAGCCTGTTGAGCAGGCTTGGAGATTTCCTTTCTCCAGGTGATTTTCTGCCTGGGGTTGGGCTGGACAACAGCACAGAAGGATCACAAGCAGGTATCAGCAGACAGCTTCAGAGGCAGACACGATGTGGGTGCTGCATGAGCTTGGAATGGGGCCAGACCTGCCCCAGGACTGGCAGCCCCCGGCCAAGCCAATGAACAGTAATTACAGGCATAAGACTAGGTCTGTCAAAATTGTCCATTTCAGATTTTTTTTCCCCAAAGTAGGTACTCTGAAATTGCAAAATTTTGTAATTTGCTGTTTCAACAGTGAAACACTAATGACTTGAAATTATGCTTCAGCCTGAAGCTGTTTTGGATTTCTGCTTAAGACGGCAAGAAAACAGCATCATTTTAGCATTTCCTGTTTTACAGTTTTCATAGCTGTACTTTTCTAGACTCCGGGCTGATACTTCTCTTAAAAGAAGGAAGCCCATTTAAAACACTTTCCTCTTTCATGGAACTTTACCATTTTAACCTGCTGCCCTCCAGAGCATGTAAGGTTGGAAACCATATGGCAGTTTCAGCTGGCACACAGTGGGAAACTGTTAGATGGGCATTTCTCTCACCTAATCCAGAAACCCTGAGAAACTGATCGCAGTATTTCAGAACTGAATTTCGCTCTGGTGTCGTGCCCCTGGATAACTAACAGAAGCACCACTGCTACAATGTCTTTTCTGCTTGAGGGGGAACTTTGGCAGCTTGCAGTGCAGAGCAGAGAAGCACAGGAACTTACAGACGGAATTTTAAAGAGGTTCCTTTTGTATGTAATGAAATTCTGTGCACATCTGTACAGCTTTTTTGAGGCAGAGGCATGTTTATTCTGCCTATGCTGTACAGCAGAAGCAATGTGTCTGTAGTGCAGACCCAGCCCAAGCCAGTACGCTGGGCGAAGGAGCAGAACTTTCTTGTTTGTACCATGCTACCGCAGCTATTTGTTCCCTATTCGCTGACTGATTCGCTCTTTCTGCAAGCGGTGATGAGATTCAGAGTCTTCAACAACTATTGCACATACGTATTTCAGGCCAGCCTGTGAGTAGCCCTTACTGACACAAGCAATAGGACATTCTCAATCATGGATTCCACGCTCTCAGAAAACCATGCAGCATTACGACAAAGCAAGCCTGGAGAGCAAGGGGCAAAGACCAACACAACGTGCTTTTTGCATTGAATTCAGCTGCTCTTACGGGTCTCAGCCAGGAAGATAAAAGCAATGCCTGATTTTCAGAGTCTTCTATCCAAGTCACACTACGCATTCTAAGCTGTAATAGACTCACGTTCCCCTTACAGCTTACTCTGTGTGCCAAATCATGTTTTCACACATCACTTCCCAGATTTAAAGGATATCATTACCCGATTCAGCTTTTGTCTTTCAGGGCACAAGTTTTTAGAGTCATCTTACTTTATCTGTTAGTCCTATCACTTCATTGTGTTAAACTATGGCACCTCACCACATAAATAGATGGACAACTTTAGGAACTAAGCCAGTACCCTATTCATTCACTGCTCTAAACAGAATCCGTATATCTATAATATGAACCATTAGTTATCACACAACATTATCTGTTCATGTTTTCACATGCAGATATTTTTGCATAAGACTGAATCTACAGAAGATCTTGCTTGGTATAAACTAGTTCCAGCCATATACCAAACCCCAAATACCACCTACCCCAACCTATGCCATGATGAATTCACACTGTATTTTACTTGTGCTAGGGCATCCCCTGCGTAATTTGAAAGTGTCACTTTTAAATTCAAGAGCTTACAAACAAGCAATGTTTCCATACCTTGTCTGTTCAGCAGATAAAAAAAAAAGGCTGAAAAATCCAGACATAATGGCAATCCAGAACAGCAGAAGCCAACCCAGTTTTCACTTCTTTAAGTCACTTAGGATTCAGCCATCTGAACTTTCCTGCCGCCAAGTGAAACTTTTTGGCCAGATCAGGCCGACTCTCCTATGACTGAAAGGGTACACCTACAGAATGACAAGGTCACCTTGGATAGCTCTAAACATCCCCATGAAAGCACAAGCAGATTACAGTTATTAGAATCAATTTGTCCACCAAAATTCAAGTATCCTTGCAAACAATTTTTTCATGATCACGTGCACTCATTATGTTCAACATAACCAGTCATAAGACCACTTCCTTGCTGATTTTCCTTGATGTTTATTCCCACGCAGCGCCCACTGCAGAAGTCAGCTGCCTACTTCTCCCACTGAACTGCAGCAAGAGTGGATTTTCTGCAGCCCGATCACTGCTAATAAGCACAGAAGGATGGGATTTTCTCCAGCAGCTTTGTTACCAACCAGGCTACGACAAAAATTGTTTCCTTGCACTGCCACTGAACTTCCACTGCATTATCATTAGACTGGAATAATGGGATATGCCAAGATCTAATTTAATAACAGAAAATTAAAAGCCTGGGCTATTTACAATGTAGCCACAAACATGAACTGTTTATAATCCAACCACGTATAATTTAGAGGTAACATAAACCAGCCAAGTGCTAAGGGTAAATCCATGAAGGTGCTTCATACCCTCCATGCTTCCCCCACATAACCTGAATCTTTTATGTGTGGGCTAGCAACCTAAGAAAGAAAATCATCTGAAAGACATCAGACCGCCATCTGAATGATACTGTATTCTCAAGATATACAAGGAAGACGTGTGCGCATTCCTTTTCCCTTTGTAAGTCCTAAAGCATAGACGATCGTAACGTCTTCCACCGTTTCCAGTAACGCACAGGTAGTCAGTTGCTCTGCACTTCGGAATAGTTTTGTTCCACACAAGACCATTCAGTGACCGCTTGTCAATTTACACAATCCGTGGATCTGGTTCCAGAGAGTTAAGGTTTAGCTTACCTTATCAAGTGGCTCATTTTATCAACTACTCATAAGATTTCCTGCTGTGAATAGATGTTTAGTGATAGGAGTCTATTAAGGTATTAGGAAAATTCACTACAGAGGAATAATCAGTGGAAAAAGTTTACCAAGTAAAATTGTTAGGAACATTTTCTTAAAGCAAATGAGGCCATTTTTTCATAAATTTACAGAAGTGGCTGCATTTAAGCCAGTTCGCTGTCAATCCTTATTAGTTTTCATCACATACTTAAATGAGAATTTTATTGATCTACAGCATATAAAGTTATTTTACAAAATCACTAACAAAACCAGCATCAGCCATCCTTAAAGTCAGCCTTTATGCTCACATTCAATAAAAAGACGTTAGTTGTCAGAAACCTAGTGGCCACCTCAATGAGAAGACACAGTCACTAGCTTTTTAAGACTGTATTTGAAAAAGAACCCACAGAAAGGAACAGACCCCACAAAAAGAGAAAAATCCATCCAAAGCTTTCAAGGAAGAGAAGGCCCAAGCCCAGACGTGCGATGCTCTTGCCCGCCCAGGGAGAGCCGAGGAGCCACTCGCCACCAGGCCACCTCTGCTCCCCCGCGGAACCACAGGGTGACCCAGACCGATGCCCACGGGTGACGGTGGCCAGGGAAAAAGCCGATTCTTTCCCTTGTCTCTCTGCGGCAAGGGCGGGAAGGAGGAAGGCTGTTACCCAGCAGGAGGAAGGAGAAGATCCACTGCAGCACGGCGACTGTCTGGATCCTCCTCTTTAGGGGGATGTTGATGGGGGCAAACTCGACCTTCATGCTGGCAGCGGGAGAGCAGCGCGGGGAGGCACGGACCC